TTTATTGCTTAAATTGGGATTTTCACAATTTAAATGCTCGCTTTCACAAAACTAGCAGCACTTTAACTTCCCGGAACTCTTCCTTTATGCTGAATGTTAAATAATCTGTGACTCTGACTGTAGAGGCTGAGATTTCTCCTCCCCCCTTGGGGCAGCTGTTTTGTATTCTGTTACAGCAACAATGGTTTGCTTGGTTTTAGTACGTGTGAGGCCATGGCTTGTGTCTCTGCATGAAACCATAACTTGGTTTGTTTTGTTTTACTGTTTTCTGTGGGTGCCACGATGGTTGGTAAACTACCGTTTATAGTTTAATGTGTGGACTCAGCTAATTGTAGTTTATTCAATCAACCATGCTTCAGTAAATCATAGCTTGAGGCCATGATGCAAGCCTGCTCCTGTGTGAAAATTGGGTTACGTGAATAGGGGCACGGTCTAAAATACATTCCTTAACACTCTGTACATTCTCAGGCAGACGCCTGCTAATCTTCTGCCATTTTGGAAATCTGTTCGGCTACGGCTTTTTCACTTTGGCCACCTACGGCAATAGTCTCCAAGGCCGCTAGAAGATGCTCTATTTTGCACCTAAATAATAAACTTTTTTTAAAAGGAAGCCCTTGACACGTTCCATAGACTTACGACAATTGGGACTCTCTCTCTTTTTTTTTTCATTCTGTGGCTTAGGCACAGCCTGTCCTGTTTTTTTGCAAGAATGCCTTTCCAGCGGCAATCGAGGCCCGAGTGACTAAGCTACAAAATCAAACCCCAGGCAAAGTCCAAGCCACTCCGGCTCATGGAGAGGATCAATATTTCAGAATGACAGTTTGCCTTCTCATATTTATAGCCAGTCGTTGACAAGGCCCACTGAGACGAGTTGATGAAGAGCTCCTCTGCACCATGGTAATTCCAGCTACGTTGCTAGGAGCCAAACAGCAATTCTACTTAATGGCCGAGGAAAAGCCAACTTGGCATATCTACCGTTCTAAGTATAGCAAAGAACGGGTCCATTCCATTTGCAACCAGTGCCAAAAGCGTATAGAAAACTCACAGCACAAAAGAGAGCTCTTCTTCTGTGTGGACTATTTAGAAGCGCTGGAGGAAAACGGTGCAAACGTCTTGAGCGGCAAGACAAGCAACTCATTTGATTCCAGCTGAAGTCAGATCACCTGGGCCGTCGGAAGCCGTAAGGATGAAGCTAAAGCTTGAATATTTTGGACTCAAAATGCAGAGGCCAAAGGGCCTGATGCTTCGAAAAGCGGAAGGCGATTGAAGAAGAGGCCAAATTATAATGCGGTCCTGGAGCTTGACAGAATGACAAGACAGCAGTTGGAACACGGCAAGTACAAACGCTTGTTTTCTTTGTGAACCACCCATCCTTGTTGTATGATATCTCCTCCTAGGTCAGGTTCATAAACTGGTCAAAAGTTGTCCTCTCTAATTTGTCAGCGGCCACCCTCATTTTTGTCCTCTTTTAATTTAGTACAACTTTGTGAATTTTTAGGCTTGGCTGAAAGGCCCAATTATAGCAACTCCTGGAGGATATAAAGTCAATGTTCAGGAAAACCATTGATTGCAACTATAGGGAAATCCTCACCAAATTATCAGATGGGATCTGGACAGTAGCATGTTCAGGTTTCTTTCATAAAGCACCTCCTTTCACATAGAAATCTAGCATATCAGGGCTTCTAGACAAGCCTTTTCCCTGAGATGCTGCTTCCCTGCGAGCTTTCGGTTATGTATGATGGGTTAGACATTGGAGCTTGCAACGTTAAGTCTGTATTGCTGAACGGCATACGCTAGGGCGCCTTATGATCTGAAAAGACCCAACATAGGAGGAAAAGCAGATGGCAGGGAGAAAGAAAACTTGGTTTCCAGGACTCACCTAGTTCTAGATCAGGCTTAATGTAGACAGACATTATGGTTTTCAGAGTGGAGGGATCAGCACTTGAAGTTCTCTGCAGAGCTGGCTTCCAACTTCTTCTTTATCCCATTGCATTCACGTTTAACCACTTCCTTCTTTAACCTCCGTGGTAAAGATTTGCCAGGCCCTAATTCCATTTATAGCCTGGTTTTTTCCCTCGCTGATGGGTGCTGATCAGGGCACTATTCCAGCTTGATCGGTGTCTAAGAGAAGACAGCTCTTTCCATTGGAAAGCTGAGAAGCAGGCGGATGAATGGCCCTTGCCAATTTTATTAGCCCTTTGGAAAGCAAACTTCAGACGGGGGATGTTTTACAGGTTTATTTCTCTGCCAAAGGGCTAGATTGGAGTGGATGCTTTTGGCTCGAGACCTGGGCTCGAAAAGGCCAGCAAATTTCCGAAAAGGTTCGAGGGGGCTGCTTATCTGTCGACCGACACCATGCACTTTGCTCCACCCCAAAGAGAAAATGTATTTTTACAAACTGAGAAGATCACGCCAAGCTGTGCAAAACTGGGCCTCTTCTAACATATACCTTTACAGGCAAATTTAACTCTACAGGCTACAGCGTCAAGAGAAATAAGGTACTTAACTCAATCTGCATTCCTGATGCTAAATGTTAATGGGAACTCCCTCTGTTCCTTTTCTCCTTTATTTCTTTTTAAAAAATATTTTTTTCAACCAGGGTTGGCTTGGAAGTGGCATCCAGTCGCTCAGATTAGTAGCCATTGGAGGAAGGACAAGATTCAGAAAGGATGATTAAAAGGAACGTGCAATAATTTCACCGGCTAGCAGGTGGCCCGTTTAGCCATCCCTGGTGTTAATCCAGAAGCACATCGATCTGTGATTGGCCCCTAGGAGTCACCGCAGCAGATTCCTAACCTAAGGCTGGGCAGAATATTTTAGAAGACAGGTTTCTCGGCACGATGGAGTTGCTGTTTCTCTTTGCTGAACTCGCTCATTTATCCTCCCCATCCTCTGCAAACTTTTTCTGCGTCGGGGGCCACGTGTGGGCTTGGACCAAGGTGCCCACATAGCAGCTGCAGCCAAAACAAAACAGCCCAAAATTTGATTTCCTGGACATTGACCCAACACGGCACTGAGTTCGTGGGAGGCCCCTGCAATCGTGCATTTAGCAAATTACCTCCCTTCTATTATGTTTAAAATTGCAGATGGGTTGCAGAGTTCAGAAGTTCTCTTGATGTTCTGGCATAAGAATATTTCCTTCCTTCCTTCCTTCCTTCCTTCCTTCCTTCCTTCCTTCCTTCCTTCCTTCCATCCATCCATCCATCCATCTTTCCCTCTTTTTCTTTTCCATGGTCTTGTTTCTCCCTCTGCTTTTTTTTCTTTTTTCTTTTCTCCGTCCTGCCTCTGTCACTTCCCTCTTTTCCTCTCCTCTTTTTTCCCCTCCTTTCTTCTTTTCACCTCCACCCACTTCTTTCTTATTTACGGTTAAAAACCACCCCACCCCACCAACAAGGATACAGTGCAATGTTTTTGAAAGCCCCCCCTCGGTCACTAAATAAAGGCTCCGCCAGAGGGCGCTCTTAGCTTGATTTCCCCCCAAATCGTCCAGCATCGCAGACCCGGCGAGACAAAAGCAGAGTCACGGGGAGGGAAACATCTTTGGGCCGAAAAAGGGCTGGCCGCGGAGCCTGCTGGGAAATGGAGTCTTTGTTCTTGGCCTCCTGGAAGCTTGCGGGGTAAGGAGCGTGGAGGAACTACCTTTCCCAGAAGACCTTGCTCGCTGCAGGCTGATAATTGGAAAAGAAAAGGGCGAAGAACCACGCACGCCGTACACCGAAACGCGGGGGATCGGGACGGGTTGTTTGTGCTTGCTACGGAGGGAGGAAAAAGGGAAGAGGAAACCCGAAGGCCTGTCAAGGGAAATATCTGACGGGGGGAAGAGAGAGAGCAAACCAGGGCGCGGAGAGGGTCCGACGCCTGCTTTGGCCGCAAACTTTGCTGTAAGTTTTCCTTTGCGGGCGACGCGTCAGCAGGATGGGTCGGAGCCGGGGCCGCCAACTGATCCCGCCGGCTCAGCCCGGTGCCTCTTGGAGGAGCTTGCTCGGCGTGCCGTCCCCTTCCCCCAGACTGCCGGGGGGAGATTGCAAGGGGGTTATCGCGGCTGGGGGGGGGGC